TATTTTACAAATAAAATCAAACGCTTGGTGCATATTTGTATTCTGCCTCCCTCTTCTACTGAATACTTTATAAAACCACATATCAGGGCAATTAGAGCAAGTTTTTTCACATTTGCAGACCAAAACGTTTGCTCATTCCTAAATAAATTAGTTAACTATAAAGTCTTGCCACAGATTCTTCATTGAATTTGTCTGATTGGAGACTTCGTTACAAAATATGAATATTTTGAATCCGTCAAATCTGACCAGCTTCTTTGTCACCAGTGAAGAAAAGCTTTCTCAAAGCACATCACATTTTGCTAATTGTATGAAAATTGGTATGATCACAAGCCTACATGACACACTTTACAGATTTATACGGAAATGATTTTGACACTTTTCATTTTATCACTGTGCACAACTTTTTGTTAGTCTGTTGAACAAAATCCCAGAAAAATACATTGAATTGTGAGGTGGTGACAGCAAAATGTGAAAAAAGGTCAAATCGAAAAGCTACTTCACAAAGCCGTCATATATCCATAAAGATAACTAAAGTAACTAAGACCCATAACGATCTTAATGTATTTTGCATTCAAAGCATCAAGTTTTTCAGTCATTCCCTAATGTTTATCTGCCCTCAGCATACCAGTGATGTCAACGACAAATCCAGTTGTGTACAGTAGAATCAGTGAACCTTTGTGTGGAAAATTCCCTCCTTCTCTAACCCACTGGTATCATCTTCTTCCTGCATAGATGGAGCCAAAGACTCAACCCACAGAAAGTAAGACTTTTCTAATGAACTTGACCTTTGGGCTGAATAAAAAGCCTCACAAGTCAATTTACTGACATCTAACAGCGGCAAATAACGACTCTTTACAACCATCTCTGAAAACACAAAGTGTTGGACTCTGAAACAGCAGCACGGCTCCACATCAAGTGCTGCTTCTGTCAGCGACGAACAGGAAACTGAGGCAACAATTGGAAAACCTGGAACGGTCCAGTGAGTCTTTATCTCTGAGTTTGAATTGGACGCATCCTGATCTGACTCAATTTTCAGGCTGCTTGGGTTGCAATAGTTTGGGGGATGTTTCCTTTGCATGTTTTCAGCCACTAGATGCCAACTGAACATCCTTCAAACACCGTCTGAGCATTAATACCGTCTGCATCCCCTCACAGATCTCCACATGGCTACTTCCAATAGGATATGCAACATTTACTCCATGTCATGAACAATTAAGACAGTTCTGACAGTAGAAGTGTGTCCTAGAGAAGTATAACCAATGAAATAGTCCTTGCAGCTCAGTCTGCAGTTTAGTAACAGAGGCTGGTTTATTTACACACTGACTTCTTTCTAGCACATACTTTCCATGCACTTGTGGCTCCATCAAGGCTGCAATTATATATTTGAGTGTGAGTGTGTGTTTACCTTCTTGGACACGTGGAAGGTTGGACTGGTCGATCTCCAGCTCTGCCATCTCTGCCCCCACTTGTCACTCCTTCATGGTGTTTTAGAAGACCCTGGCGCATCACAGAGGCGGATGCGTAATGTGAAATGATTCAATGAGACATGGAGTGCAAAATGAAACATTGTGAAAACACTCGAGGACGTAAATATGCAACAGTCAACGTGAAAGGCGTGGAGACGGAAGAGTACAGTGTTTGCAACAGTGTTAACAAATATGTCGGCAAGCCAATAATCGATACAGGTGAAACGATAATAAACCTACCCTACCAGCTTCCAGTTCGCTGCCCACAAAGGCCGCAGTGTCGTATGTCTGCGCACACGCAGCTCGCTCAACAAGTACCCAACATAACAACAAAGTGTCAACTTCTCCAAGCTCTGCTCAGTCCCACCTTCCTTCCTCTCCCTCCCTTCCTCCACTTTCGTGGACCTCAGCAAATTGTCGGAGGTGTCACCAGCGCGCCTGGCCGCCCCTGACGCCTCAGGGTTCGGTGTGAAAAGCCTTCGGGAAAGCGGCGGTACTTGACCCCGACAGAAACAAAGAGGTGTCGGCTCGGTGAGAGAAACCAGAGGGGGCAAAGTTTAGCCAGCAGTCTGTGGGGCTGTTCCTTCACCGCTCCTGTTCGGCGGGGGCGGTCATTCCGTGCTGCCTTCACGTACACCTTCAGCCTCCGAATCTTCATTATCCAAATGTAATCAGCTAGACCGGTGTTTGACGCCTTCAAGCCTGGTTTAATAAACACCGGTGGATATTAGATTTGGTAAAAATGGTGAAATATGTCGATTAAATAAGCGTAGTAGACAGAAACGACTGAATGAATCAACGTAGTTAAGGGTTTATTTGGTTCAGAACACGCATGGCAATTAATTATTTCACTTTCAGTTTATAGATAGCTTTCTGCCAGCCGTCATCGCCTTATAGATGGTTCTCATGTAATTAATCCCAAAGATCCAGTCACTCAAATTTCCTTTGAAAGCTAAAAGTTGAGACGTAAGAAACTTTTTTCCGCTTTCTGTTTAAGTTTTATATGTTCTTGGGAGCCTTATCATCATCATCATCATCATCATCATCATCATCATCATCATCATCATCCAACAAAACTTATCTGAACCCAAACAGTGCCAGTTTAGAAATATGTGCAATATGAGAGCTGGTTAAACTAACCTCACATTTGATGCACAAATTTAAGAAATGGACATAAACTGGCTTACACTTCTTTTTAAAGCCTGTGAGGTTTCAGGGCATTTCTGTGGTTTCAGACTAGGATATTAAAGGACCAAAAAAAAGAAGAGCTTCAGTGGAAATGTCAGCTTTACCCCAAAGAACAAATATCTTGTCTAGTTCATAGCTTCCTAAAGAAAACGTTGCCCTCTAGTGGTTGTTGTAAGATCAACAACTATGGAAACAAATGGTCACATAAAAAAAAATCGTACGCAGAAACGACTCTTTCTACTCTTTCTGACTCTTATCCAGAAAATAAGAGTCATCTGTCTCTTAAACAAATGAATAAATTAAAGATTTAACCAATACACGATTTAACTATGATGCTATTGTGCTACCATGACTCAAAATAGTATATATTATTTCTAATGTAATAATTTCTGACTGAATTTAGATCCTATTCCAGTGTAGAAACAAGGAAACTGATAAAGCCAAAGCGCTCCTCATGAATTAAATGTTTTGATTTAATTATTCAACACTAAGCAACAGCATTTTAATTTGCATATTTTGTATATTTTCACAAAAATATACACCTTTTTTCAAATGACGCAGTATATAACAGCAACACTGTAATTCAAAGTATTTGAGAGGTGTTGTAAGGACACAACAAACCATTTATTAAAAAGTGAAAAGAACTAGCATTGCCATTTTAAGCAATCAGATGTACATAATAATAACTGGCAGTCAAAGCAAACAAAAAAATGGATATGACTCCATTTGCATTGATCAATATCTTAAGGGAATGAATCATGCAATAGCTGCTCATTTTGCTGCACGCATTCTGTATGTTTGCAAAACTACAGCTTCATATTTAATCTACTGGAATTGACTTGCCATTTTAGGTTAAAAAAAATGCCTACATTTTTGTTATCTAAGGTTATGAAGTTATGAAATTTATGAAGTTGGTTACCTACTTGTGTCTGGGTAATTTTGTTCCACAAAAATGGGATTTGGAGTCACTCCTTCTGTTGTATTAATAATTTTATAAACAATAAAGTTTGTGTCTGGCATCCAAGTATGAAGTACATGTCAAAGCCAAACAAAATACACAAAAAAATCATAATTAATGGTCTATAGAACACAAAGTTGGTGGATTATGAAGCTCATTATCAACAGAAATTAATGTAATTCTCTGTTCTTAGCATAATCTTTATCAATTTGTGTTTGGCTCTTCCTACATTTACTGTTTTTCGACTAACTGTTTTGTAGAGCATTCAGTTTTATACAAAGTTCCAATGTCAGAATTAAAATAATTGAAATTTGAACATCTACAGACACACATGAATATAATACCAAACATAGATTTAAGTTTTCAACCAAAAAACAAAGCTACAACTTTAAGTTTTGATCAAGAGCTATATCTATAAAATGTATTATCTGCAATTTGGGAAAATCTAGATTGTGGAGATGTTTGCTATGGGAGTTGAAATATCATAATAATACCTAGCAGTTATTATTATTTCACTTCCCAAGCATAGACTTTAACGTTGCATCTTCAGCTGCCCAAAAAAATCAGATGAGTGTTTGAATACTTCATTCATGCCTCTAGTAAATATGGAAATTGCAACCGTAGGTGGAAAATGTAACTTTGTAAGTAGCCATCTTTCATCTTTTTGAGCAGTGAAGCTGCTATTACACTATCCAACCACACTAATAAAGGTTTGGTTTATTGCATGACGAAGAGGAGGAGAAAGCAGAGACCGAGCGCTGCAGAGCCTTACCAAGCTTCTAAATATTGTGCATTAATCAGGCTGAATTAAGTGACCCGTGGAAAATCTCCTGCTGCCTTGAATAGATTTGAAATGTCAGACAGCTCATAGAAAGGAAGGTTATAAGCACTTAAACCTGCCCTGAACTTCTGATGAAGTAATTACTTTGGTTTATTAGGATCTCTTTCTACTTCGTATGCAACAAGGATTTAGGAGTCAGATGACCTAAGACTTGAACAAAGCGGTAACATAAAGGTGGAAGTGATTCGTCTGCGCGGTTTGTGTGCCACCTGCTCCCCAGTGTAGGTGTTGAGATGACAATCTATGCACCTGCTTTAATAACATTTATAAACTCAGTAAAATTGCTTAATCAAGCCAAAGAGCTGGTAAAAAACGGCCGGTGGCTCTGGATGACGGGTCAGTGTGGCGTCTTCTTATAGAGTCCATAATTCACCGGTGTATCCCTGTTGATTTATGCCAGTGAGAGCGGATGTGAGTCTGCATGTAGCTGATGGCTGTGGCAGCAAACAAAAGCGTGTGTGCGTGTGCCGGGCCAGTCAGGTGGACCCAGCTGGAAGTATATAAAACAGCTGGGTCCACTGCGCATTCAGAAGTCTTCACCAGAGGACCTGTGTGCAAATCAGAACCACTTCCCACAACAGCATCAGACAGTAATGAAGTGCAGCCATCTCTTCTCCTGGGCCTTTGTGCTGGTGGCCTCTGGCACCCTGCTGGCCCACCCTATCACAGAATCGGCCGAGATGCCCTATCCAGGACCAGGTGAGCAAAGGATAATGCCTCTATTATAGCTTTTATAAAAATAATCCATCAATTAAGATGGGTAATTAGTATTTTCAGTCGTACAATTTAATTTTAAGAGATTAATGACAGCACAGTCTTAACCTGGGGCCATAAAATAATTACCTGAGCGCTGCAATGCTCAGCAGTGATTTTTCTGCCAAGGTTCAGCTAGCAGGCAGAAAAATGTGAGTGGTTCTATTAATGCCGTTAATTTTCTGTTGATCAGAAGTGAGTATAAGTGCTACTTTGGGTTAGAAAACATTCAGCGTTTGAACATTTTTTATGCGTTTTTTTTATTTATTATTATTTGATCAACTACCTGAAATGTATTTATTTATGTTTGACCTCAGCGTCAGTGGAGGATCGCGTTATAGGAATGCTGGATGACGAGTTTCTTCCTGAGCAAACGTTTATTCCTCAGGATGGTGCAGCGCTCCGATATTCCACTTTTATGTCTGGGGAAGTTGACAGAGATGGTAAGAGACACTTTTAAGAACAAATTTGAAACCATTTTTCTACAATGTTAATCTACTTGAAGTATGGCCTGAAGGGAAACATCGCAAAGACAAGGTGCTAGACAATGGATATCTCGAATCATTTCGAATCCCTTGTGTTCTTATCCATCAGGTGTCAGGACGACAAATCTGGTGCCAAGAGGAGTCAAGAGAGAGGTGTGTGACTTCAAACAATTACATCCTAAAAATGGGAAAGAGAAATCTTAGCTGCAGATCTTTAAACAATATGTCTCTTGAGAAATTACAAACTACACTGCATTTTGCAGATTTTATGACAGACCAAGGCAAAGTGCACAATTATGCTGCTGAAGGAAAATGAAAATTATTCTGAGAAGACAAAAAGTGTGGAATGCATTTATTACTTTTAATTTCTGGAGGTGACTCTGCCAGCATCACACAAATAGGGCAACTCTGTCTGTCTCCCTTATAAAATAACGTTGAATTGATGCTGTAAAGACTGATGTGGCGCGTGACGATTCTTTGATCCTAAACGAATGCATTCCCTCACCATGAAGCCTCCACCACCCTCTTTCACCAAAGGGATGATGAGTTAGTGGGGATCGGAAATGTTCACAGCATTAGACATTGTTTTCAAATCTAAACCTATGACTCCTGAAAGCAACTGGATTTCATTTGAGGGTATCAGAGGGGCATGAATACCAATGCAATCCATAAGTTTTCAGATTTTTCTTTGTAAAAACCATTTGTAAAGCATATACTTTTTCCCATGAACAACTAGCCTGTGTTGGTGTATCACATAAAATTTCAGTAAAATTAATTGAAGTGTTTTCTTAACACTTTTGAATACTTTTAAAAGGAACTGACCTGTATTTCTGACTGAAACTGTACACTCTTGTATTAAACATGGTAATATAGATATCTAACTATTATATCCTTTCTTTCAGGTCTTATTAGAGAAACCAAGTCTCCTGAAACCTTACAGCCGCTTGCTGGGCATCCGTAAGCAGTTAAGGAAGAGAAATGGAAATTCAGAGTGTTTCTGGAAGTACTGCGTCTAAAAACCGAGCTAGTTGGTTATCTGCCTTACAAGAAGCAGTGCTTAATAGAGAGGGAAACATGTGCTTGATACACTTTTAAAGGGCAGACAAAGCAAACATCGCACTCCATGCATGCATACATTACATGTTTCCAAGACTCAAACCTTTACCTTCAGCTGATTTACTGTCGGATTTACTTTTAAACTGTGGAAAGTCATGTTAAGATCTTTGTATGTACTCAAAATTATTTGAGATGTAAAAATCAAAGAATAAAAAGAAAAGTGTCAAATGTTATTCCTCTGTAGTTGTTTTAAACTGAAATGTACTGGTATAAAAGTGGGAGAATAGCAGTAAAAGTAAAGGACGAAGCAAAAAGACATGGCAGAATAGGTTCTCAAGTTTTCTTCATTTTCTCCTTTTTTTATTATTTTACAGCAGAAAGAATATAAAGCATTCAGAAAACATCTTCCATATTTTAAGGGCAATTCAAAATGTTTTGCATGGCTTCAGCAGCAGAAATCTCTTTTTTTTTAAACATATCCATTGAGTCAGTGACGCTTGTACATGCACAATTACAAAAATAAAACTTACAAACAAGAAAAGGGAAGAAAAAGGAGGAAAGCATAACACATTAGGAGAACCGAGAGGAGATGGACATTTTTTCTAAGGGCGGGGAGCGGAGAAAACTCGGGTCACATAACAGGGAAAGACAGAGAGAAAGACAGCTATAGAGGAGAGGAAAAGAGATCTAACACTAGTTCACATGCAAAGTGTCGAGAACCCATGACTTTCTATCAAAGCAGGGCCATTTTTTCTTCTCTTCAGTTTGGAATTGATGAAAACGTGCAATTGGGTAAAGGGTGCCATATAATTGCTGTCAATAAACTACTGAATGCTTGTCTTGCAATACTGGCATTTGCATAAAGAGTAAGTCGACTACACGTGTCCAGTCATTTTTAAACTTTGCTAGGCCTGGTAGGGCTCCACAAAATAATTTCTTTATTGCTCTGTGTCAACACGTGGATCATACTGCTGAACTGGTTTCTGTTCTGTTGCCCTGATGCGCCTACCTTTCTGAGGTTTGGGTGCTTCGGAAAAAGGAAGAGGAGGAAAGGCAGATTCTCAGGTCAATTTGCAGAACATCTTAGAACTGATAAACACTGTGTGCTAAACAAGTGTGCCTGTCACCCCACCCTCAAGAAATGGCAGTAAAAAACAAGATTTGTAGTTGCAATTTTCATAGAACTACACCTAATCTTAAATACCCTCTACAGTTTGACACCTAAATAAATTAAAGGCCTAAAGAGTAACGGAGGTCTTCATAAAAGTCATTCATCTCCAAGAGCTACATATATGGTTGGAGTCCATTTCAGGGTTCCACCTGTTCAAGGTTAGCAAGAGAAAATTTACTGTGTTAATTTACTTTAAACGTTGTACAATGAAACCTTCAGTTCCATGTTGTTTTAACCATTTATGTTTTCGGGTTTTAGCTTCCTCTGATGTGAAATGCATGTCCTGCTCTGTTTCCTCCTCCCCATTTTGGCACCCTGAGTAAAATACAAAAGGGAGGTCAACCAACGCTAAATGCTTATGTGTCCATCTGTCCTAGAAGTGAGTTTGGTGGTACACTGAGCCTAAATGAACAATAAAAAGCAAACGAAACACCTAAGAAACTTGTTGCGAAATATAAGTCTGTCCTCATGCTCTGCCATGAAAACATCCGTAGCTACCAAGTACTGGTCATTGGCTTTGTTTGCAGGTTTTGTCTCCCCCACAATCACATTTCTCCCCTCAATGATACACCAAACCAGCTGCTTACTGTTTTGCAAACATTATGTCTTAATCAAGTCTATCTGACTACCAGTCCAAAGAAAATAAGCATGCTATAGGTGCAGCTCAGTCACCCAGTTAACTAGTTTACCATGCAAGCATTATAAATCCTTCTCCCACTTTTTTTCCCCCAAAACATTGCATTGGCTATGCATTCTGACCACAAACCGGAGGATGAGCGCAAGGCAGCAGACCCCGATCGTGGCGTTTCTAAAAAAGTCAAGCTGTTCCAGGAGAAAATGGAAGAGGTGGAAAAATGAAAATAAAGCCGTAGCGCGGACAAGCGGGAGCGCTCTACTTCTACTGTGCAGGGGAGTGAGTGTAATGGTGCGATCGTGTGACGTACTCCCTGAAGATCAGGTACACTGAATGCATTCTGCAACTGGTGTTATGAGGACATGAATAGGCACTTTCTACATAAACATTGCAAATAAAGTTCACACATCAGGTGATTCGGAAAACAGCACGACAACAACCAGTTGTTCCAGAACATCAGGGAAATATCTATAGATCCTAATGATGTCAAAAAGAAATAAATGAAAATCAAGTTTTTCAGTGGCACTTGGCTGAATTTTCACATGTTTGGATACAGAGTACACTTTCTGGCAGAATAAGAATTAGACAGCAGCCAATAGGCACCTAAAAGGCTCTAATTATTTTTCTAAGCATCCTATGTTGTTTTGATATTGTCCAGTGTGTCACAAGAGAGGCTAGTGCTATAATTTACACATAAATATATTACAGTCATGTTTAGCTTATTGACTTTTCATGGACACGTCTGAGATCATCCAGTGTTTCCTAAAATCACACGAGCATCTTTGACAGTTTATTTAGCAGTTTTTCGACTCCAGCTTTTGTTTAACACAGCCTCCTCATAAAATTTAACTCGACCTCGTTTAAAAGCCATGTTTTGTGATGTAAAAAATTAGACCATGCTGCATATTTCTAAACTTTCCCATCCTCTAATGTAACCAATCTCTTGTAAAATTCAACTGAAAAGCAATTTTGTTAAGCAACTGTTCAAAAATCCCATCATAATCGTGTTTCATGAGTGTTTCCACAACCTTAAACCAAGACTTTCTTCGTCAAAACTTCCTGCCAGAAAAAATTGTTCGAATGTGAAAAAATAAAATATTGTTAAACCTTAATTTGCCAAATTTTCAGAATAACTGTGCTATGAGGGCAGTGATAAGTAATAGAAGAAAATATAGGAAGTAACATCACAAAAGTTTGTAAACAGCAAAAAAATAAAACATCCAGTCCTGGTCAAAAATTTCCTAAAAATCTTCTTCTTTGCACAAAGAACAAAACATGAATTTGCGCCATAATTCCAAAAAGTTTGCATGGTATAAAAAGAACATTGCATATCCCCAAAAGTATCCCATGGTAAAATACGGGGCTGGCAGCATCATGATGTGGGGTTTCTTTTCTTCAGATAGTTTTAAAACGGCTTTGCCAGAGACCTGAACTGAAAATCTATGGGTTCATCTGACGAGGACTGTGGAAAAAAAATAAGTCCATACATTTAGAGATTTGAAGACATTTTGTAAATTGGAGTGGGAAAATATTAAGCCAAGATTTTGAATCAAATTTTGATTCAGTTTCATCATTTAAGAAAAAAAAAATCTCTGTTTTTCAGTTGAATTCTACATAGCTTATAAATCTGATGGGAAGTTTAAAAATTATTTATCATGGCTCTATTTTTTTATTTCACAACACAAAGACCGAGACAACACTGCAGGATACGTCTGCCTTTGGCAATCGCTACTGGAAACATTTCTAAAATATAAAAACAACACATGCTGTGCAAAAAGGTCAAACCATCGTCGTTTTCAGTTTACAAAACCTCAATCTATGAATCGTAAATCAAAGCTCGGTGCGTCAGGTTGCACAGCTGAGATGATGAATTCAGTCTGTTTCAGTGATAAGAACAGCAACACCTGTGTTTGCTATGTCCGGATCCAAATGGGAAAGGCATCCGTTTACAATCTTTGAGTTCAGACAAGATACCTCTATGATCGTCACATTCCATTTTTACTGACAACAAAAATCAAGCACATATCTGATGTGGTATATTAGGAGATGAACAATGCTCTATGATAAATCTGGATGGTGGAAATATGATGAACTTGCACTAAAATGCCCTTCGTTTGAAAATGAGTCCCTTTACAAGTTATGTTTTCTTCAATCCTCAGTCAGTCAGGATGTTATGGTTTTCGTTCCTTAGAGTGTATTTCACTGTATGATTATCTGTTCTGCAAAAATGGACTTAAATAAATTCTTAAGCTTCATAGCAATCGTATACCTTGGCACCATTGGCAAAAGTTTCTTGGGAGCCCAAACCAAACAGGTAATGACAAAAAATGAAAGTAACTATAGTGGATTTAAGATAATTTTTAAAGACCTCTCCTAACACTAAATACATTATTTTTTTTAACTTTTTCATATGCAATAATATCATGCTTTAGCAAAATGTTTGTCTCCGGAACAATCAAAATAAAGTAAAATACTCTAATAGTGAAATATTTTTAATTTTACAGAGCATAGCCACTACTGCTTTAGTTTTTTTTCCCCCCTTTTAACTCTGTTCATACTTTTCATGCACTTAGCTCATCTTTATCCCAGATATTTACACTATGTACAAACGATAGAACCATACTTCTTAAGCATTCAAACAAAACTATACAAATATTCTGTTTTTGTCTTGTACCTGTTTTCGACCCATTTTTAATGAATAAAATAATATATTTCTAAAATACAATCCCTGTAAGGGAACATGTTCATTTTTTCCCCTACATACTTGCAGCCTTCTTTTATATACAGAAATCACTCAATTGTCAAAAAATATGGATTTGTCAAACCCCTATTTTGGGACAAGCTTAGGGACCCCACAAAGAATCTCTAAGACGTCAAGGCAATGTATGTGATTTTCCCCTCAAAAGCCTGCAGAGGCTCCGGAGTTCAACTCAAAAGAACAATAACAACCTGCATGACTACAAGAGTTACAACACAAAAATAATGAACAAAATTGACATTTTGCTCCCCTCTGGGAGGGGAACCAAGAAGGAAACAAAATAACCGAGAGAACACGGATATTAGCTTAATTACAGAAATAATAACGGCTCTTATGAAGAGAAATGTGGAAATAAAATCAAAATCAGAAGAAAGACTGAAGGGCTAGACCATAAACACACAAGCAAAGACTTTTTCTGTCTAGAAGTCATGCATTTTTTTTTTCTTGGTAAGATTTAACAACATATAGCCTGATACAGCTCACCAATACATTGGACATGATGGAAGGAGTACATTGGACGATATGAAACAAATTCAAGTAATAAAGGGACTATATATATACAATAAAGCATAGTATCTTTTTAAAAGAAAATGTTTTATCCCCAATCTGCTTCAGCATGAATGTTTGAACCCCACTACATTCATTTGTAGCTCCACCCAGGCGGGCGGACTGGTGGGGTCGAGCAAAGAAGGACTGGAAAGAATACTAAGTTTAAATGGATACTGTTAAATCACCAGCATTGGGTTTAAAGTGGGGTATGTGGGTGTTAAGTAAACAAAAAATCTGTCTTTGAGTGAATTTATTGGTCTTAAAAAATAACCATGAAATACAACGAGAGCCCAGAGTGTTTCTGCATGGTCTCCTTGTCCTTTGAGATTTTCTGCAACAGCCCTAACTTTCGTCTCTTGAGATCCTCGCGTTTGACCGACCGCCTGTCCACCGTCGTCTCTCATCACTGTCTAAAACCTCTTCGCAGCTAAAAAAAAGAAATAAAAATAAAAAGCAGTCCATGAAAAAGTGCAAAAAATGCCATGAAGCCAATGTTCTGCACCCGTTGCCCCAGTTCTTTGAGTTCATAATGCTGTTGAAGTCACCAAGTCAATGGAAAGAATAAACATGTAAAAAAATCAAATCAAATAAAATAGCTGTCATACAACGTAATAGAAGTTGAACCAGTAACACTGCTCTAGTAGTAGTAATAATAGCAGTGCATGAATCGATGTTTTTTTTCTTTTTGTTCTGTTCTCTTGTAAAATGTCTCAGGTACAAACAAAAACGAAAAGAGGAGTCAGGAGAGTGATGTCACATCGCAAGGGGGCTCTTCTGAGGGGTCTCATGTTCCCTGGCCCTTTTCAATTCTTTCACCCTGAAACACAGAGACAGACGACGATTCGTTAATGGAAGATGAAGTTAGCCGCACAGAAAATGACACACACACACAAACAAAATCCTAAAACTTTCAAGCAGGACTAAAACGTAAAGCTCAGGTCATCAGGAGCTACGTCATTTCTGGGAAAAGATAAAGAAGTCCTTACAGTTTTGCAAAGAAATATACACAATTAGTCATTTACAACAGCTTAAAAATCATTACTAAGAATTACATAGATTATGAGTTTACATTGAATAAAAAATATCAGCTTGAAACACTCAACAAGTGAATAATTATCTAACTTCATCAGGTTTATAAATTTTTGTAAACCTATTTCCTGCGTTACAAACAGAGGATTGGGAATTTTATTTGACAGAAAAACACACATAGTGTCTGTGAACAGCATCTAAATTCAATTTAGATCCGTGACTGATCCATTCAGTCACGCTGCTATGCTTTTATCTAAACCATTACTCTGTATCTCCAGCTTTATGTTTAAAGCTGGAAGGAAAAGGCTTTCACAGCTTTGTCTACGATAAAGCTTAGAGTTTCCCGCCTGAGCTGAAGCTCTTTGCAGGTGCAACAAGCATTTAGCAATCTTTCTTATTAATGCTGCTGTTGCTGTTTACAGATTGTCTCATAACCTAAACCTGCTTCTAGCTTTATCTCTGAACCTGCGTGTTGAGATACTAGATCTTTATGACGCTGTTCACTGATGTTCTCTGACAAATCTCTGAGGCCTTCGCAGGAAAAACTGGATTCACACAGAGATAAAAATCACACACATCTATTATTAAAGAGATATGTGAGGGCAATTAATTGCACTGGGTTTTAATCAGGTGTATCAGATGTATCACAGTAATGAAGGGACTGAAAACAAATCTGAATACAATTTTGTTTTTGCTTGTGAAGTGTCAGTAAACAATGCATTGTATCCACTTTAACTTCACAGGTATACACAACATTGTTCTGCTATAGCAAACAAAATCCCCAAACCACCTTCAGAGATAAGACTGTAACATGACAGAACGTATACAAAACTACATAAATATACATGTGTATATATATATATATGTAGTTTTTGATTCAGGGAATGTTTGTGGAGGATAAAGAAATCCCCCAGGATAATTTGATGGAGTTCATCCTGCTTGATTACTGTACAGAAAGCAAGTGCTGCAACATACAGAAGAGGATCACACAGAAACTGAGTGAAATTAGTGAAACACAAAATATTGTTTATTCTCTGATCCCAACAAGAGGACTACTGCCACAACATTATATTTAGCAGATGAATCTATTGCTCTAAGACCAGGTTAGTTTTTTTTCTTATTAAAGGAAACCTTAAAATACAGCTAGTTGTTTTTAAAGTTATGAATCCCACAGAACTGCTTGACAGAGGTAAGTAAGCAGAAATTGAAGGGAGGACGTTTCCCCTTGCAGTCTATCGAGTGGCTTGAAATAGAGCATACAGTCAGTCAGCCAGCCAGAGAGACAACTACTGGAGGAACAGCAGGTTCATAGCATGCCTAAAAGTAGAAGAGCAAGACCCATAGTCGTCACCACTTGACATGCAGCAGGAAAAAACAGAGTTAAGAAAAAGCTTCCCGCACTGTATAACTGGCAATTTGCAAAACCACAGAAAGCTAAATGAAAAGAAAAAGAAAAATAAAAAGTGCAATTTTCAAGGAGAGAAAGAGAAATACGGAGAATCAAATGTCTCTGGTAAGTGTTGCAGTGACATTGTCATTCATAAGCATTTTGTTAGTTAAGGAAGGCTCGGATCTAAATCTGAGCGTCTCAGTCCACCTGTGGCTCCAGTCAGCAGCCTTCATGCAAGCAGGCATCAAGCAACAGTGATGGAAAATGAGAAGGACTGGGAGGGAAGAGAAGAGAACATGAGGAAGGAGAAAAAGGGATAGACCGCCATGGATAAAACTTCAGGAGGAGATACAAGCTTTATTAAAGAGTGACAGTGAAACAAGAGATTTGGAAAGAGAAACAGATGAAGAAGAGAGAGAGAAAGAAAGAAAGAGAGGAAGGGAGTCACGAACTGAGTTGCTGAGGCTGCACTCACCCGCTTGAACAGTCTATGGTCCATCAAGGGGCTTGGCATAAACAGCAAAACAATACCAGACAGCTATTAGCACACAGTAGGCACTGTGAAGGAGGGGCAGGGGCAGCTGGGGGTGGAAGGTGGAGCTTAGGGATGGGGATATCTCTAACTAGTGATTATTGTCAAGAAGATGAAAAATAAATAATTAAATCTAACACACCAAGCAAAAAAAGAAAAAAAAAAGAAAAGAAAAAGAGATGGACAAAATTATCTGGTTACAGTAGCATACAATGGAAGAAAGAACACCACTGTGCAATATCACCATGGTGGGAAATGATTGAAAGTTAAGTGGTATTAGACAGGGGTGTACTTGCTGCTGTTACTTTTATTGTGGCTTATTGATTATTTAAATGGAAATTACACGTCTGTATCACGAGCCAGCAGAAACGGAGAAGTTCGTTTTGGAGTGCCTTGCAAAAGGATTGACATCCCTTCAAACTTTTCCACAGTTTGACCCGTTAAAACATCAATGTATTTATTGGGACTTGATGCGATAGGCTAGCACAAAGTAGCAAACTGGTTGGAGGTTAGAAGAAAGGTTTTTAACTCTTGTCCAGTATCATCCTGTTGGAAGGTGACCCCTCTGTTCCTGTGCACAGATACAATTTTTTTTCTCCAAATTGTTCTGAATTTAGCTCCATCTAAATTCCTATCACCTCAAAACAGGTTTCCTGTCCCTGCTGAGGAAACGTGATACTGCCGTCACAGTTTTTCATACTGTGAAGTTTTTTTTTAGGCTATTGCACATCACAAAGTTTTGTATGAAGGGCGTTTAGTTTTAGTTTGGTGTGAATTATGTCCTCAAGTTGCTTGCTGTAAACTATAAACTGGACTTTTTATGGCCTGTCAGTTGTAGTTGAAAGTGTGCAGCCATGTCTTGAAAGATTGGCAACTGTGCGGTTTTGTTGTTTTTGTTTTCAGACGATTGACTGCTCACTATTGCTTGGTTTTCATGATGCTTTTCATTTAGTAACATTAGCTGTGTTTCCATTACAAATATGTGCAAAACTTTGTCAATATTCCGCTACTGTCAAAGAAACCAAATTTCACAATTATGATGTGTTCATTAAATAAGAAATGCAATTAAAATCACACGTCAATAAATTATACACTATTCTTCCAACTATTTTCAAAACTATCTTTTTTGTAGTTTGCACCAGTGACAGTATCCAGTTGTTGTGGATCCAGTTGCAATGGGAAAAAAAAGGTTTCCATTGCAGTTTTGCGAAATAAATAATTTTTGATAAACCCGCCCTTGCACCAAAGCTTTTAATCGAGTTTTTTCGAAAATGGCGTCTTTCCTTATGCAAATTTATTTTTGAAATATCAAATTGCCCAATTCTAGGGTCAACATTAACCCACTTCTTCACAGAACATTTGTATTCCCCCTTAGAGTCAGTCATACAGAACAAGTTTATTTGAAGCTGATTTTATTTAGGGTTACTAGACCACTCAGTGTTGGTGTAACACATAAAATCCCAATCAAACACATTGAAGTTTGTGGTTGCAACTTGAAAAGTTAAGAAACGGTTGATGGGGTGTGAATACTTTGGAAAAGTCCTTTTATTGAGCGTTCTGGCTCGGGTCGCTGTTTGGGTCGCCACCTACCTGTGGCGGCAGCGTCGTAGGAACCTCATGATCTTCCTGGCAGCCTGATCCTGCCTCTTCGTGAGCAGACTCCCTCTATGAGGCAGCAGAAACACTTTGAGTTAACGTTACCAAGCAGGAAAAAAAAAAATAAAAATCCAAATCACAATGTCTTTAATAAGCAAAAAGAGATTACACATCATCTTTCAAACTTATTTTTGCTAATGACTTTGTTGATAAATGACTCAAGACATTAAGCATTTTTCAGCCCTGCAGACAAGCCTCATAATTTAACTGTCACTTTATCATTATGTAGCAAGATGAAGTGGTTCTTGCCGCATCCTGCAGTCTACAGCAGCGCGCATACACCCTGTTACTTGGTGTTTACCTCAGTTTGTGCTGCACCAGGGCGGCAGCAGCCCCACGATGATGGGGCTTCAGCTTCCCAAACTCCTTGTAGCTGCGGTAGTATTGCTGAATGAGTACAGCCGCCCTCCTGCTCTGCTGGAACTTCTTTTGTTCGTGGTAGCTGCGAAATTTACTCTGGATAAGGATGGCGGCCTGCGTCATCTTCTTATAAAGTGCATACTGAGGACAAGAACGCATCGACACGTCAGGACTCGCTTGATGAAAGTCGTGCTGTGGCTCCATGCAAGAGTATGACCAACAAGTTACCTTTAGGGCTATCCATGTTAGCTTGTAAACGAGGGGAAAAAAAAGACGCATTTCGAATGTTTGCTCTTTAAACGTATTCAGGCATGGAAACAATTTCGCGGTGTTCCTTGCCTACCTGCTTGTATTTCTTGTAGCAACGTTGTATAACAGCGGCAGCTACTTCCTGTTGCTCCTGGAGTGGCCGCCCCTGTCGGAAAGTAGAGTGGAAGAGGTAAGAAGTTACAATAGGAGCTCCTTTCTGCCACAAAGGATATGTGTAGCTTGCCGAGGTGTTGTCATGGTTAGCACATGACCGCCTCAGATAAAGAGCACAGTTTGTGGACAGACCACCTGTCAAACAGTGGAGGAAGTGAGCTGCTGCCCAACAGAGAGTCACCTCAGAATCAGCTGGCAGATGGGCTAAAGACAACTGTGAACGACAGTGAACAGTTTGTGATGATAAAACTTATTGAAAGTTTCTCATGGGTAGGTGGGAAGTTCAGGAATGGGACTGGGCAACGAGGAAAAAAAGACAGAGACAAAGTGGGAGCTCATTGCTTAATAAATGTGTCTAAGTAATGCAGGGATACGGGGTCAGTGCAGCTCCCCTAAGCAAGGCCATGCTCTGCTCAAGCCACCTTATTCCATGCTGGAACCACAGGGACAGATTTGTGTTTCCTCTTAATTTTCTGATACAGTTAAAAATAGACATACAGAGAATTAGACAAATATAGAGACTGAAATCAATCAGTTGAAACCATGGTTAGAAACAGTACAACACAAGACAAAATAGGTAATAAGCCACGTTACATATGCTGAACTTCAATCCATAGCCAGATTAAAGGGAATCCTTCATCCCTAAAATCCAAAAACAGATCCACCCAGTTACACCAATCCTCAGCCTGTAGCTCTATGAGTCTGGGCTACAGCATAGACAGCTTTCATTGCCTGAACACCGGGACTGTACCTTGTACTTGCGGAAGGCAGTTTGGACCAATCGGGCAGCCTCGTACAGCTCTCTCTGCTCTGGATCTGACAGAGTCAGCTGGGCCAGGTCTCGCTCCACTTTGCTGTTGGAGGCGTTGATGAACTCACTCCAGTCGGACGGGGAAGGAACCGCTGTCCTCTCCAACGGGGCCTCTCTGAGCGGAGACCCCCGAGGGCTCAGGTTAGGGTTAGATGATGGTGTCAGTGGCTCATTGTACAGAGATCTATCCAAAAAAAAAAACAATTTATCTTTTTTAATTGACCTTTTTAAGATATTTTAGTTTTCTCCGCGTACTTTTTCTATAAATTTGCATTGGGATTGTGAGATGAAATCAGAAAAAAAACAGCTTTTAGTGCAACTTTAACTGTACCTTTATTTACTGAATGACACTTTATGACAACAGTTGTAAACATTCATAAAGACTCCATCATCCTAACAGGTGTTATGTCTATGACAGTGACGTGTCAGCGTCATGCACACTCCTTCAAATTAAGTGTTACCCAGATCTCTTCTGTTTTTGCTTTTGATCATCTCAAATATATTAACGTTCCAGATTTCAACCTAAAAAACTGACTTTGAAAAGCCTGCAGTGAGGTTGGATTAATGCAACAGTTTACTTCATCGCAGACTGGTTTGGAAATAAATCTTGACTTGACAGATTTCGTCTTTGTTGGAAATTAAAATAAGTTGGATGATCTGAAATATTTAAGTTTGATAAGTAAGCAGAAGAAATTTCTACGGGGGACAAAAACTTTTTCACAGTAGCCACGCTTGTATGGATTTGGCAAAAAAAAAGTGTTTCTTTTTGCTTCTCACTTCAACATTGTGTCTTTTTTCTTTAAATTGTAAAGGAAGCACATTTTTTGATGACATTCAAAAGAGGTTTGAAATACAAGCCTCTAAAAATGTCAAAGTCTTTTTTTTCTTACATTTCATTTCTTTGGAATTTGAGCAAATAAAACAAAATCTCAGTTTTTACTCAGATACAAAAACTTTATTTAACATGTCTTTTTTTAATGACATCTAGAAAGCAAAGGTTGTATTTAAGAGTACAAACCCTTACCGTAGGTGTATGATACTTGGCAGCTGTTCTACATCTCCCAGGTAGCTGGCTAGCCAGTTCATGGTGGTGCTGACCGCCGATGTGTCTAAAGGCCCAGAGTCTGCAACGCTGAAGTTCTCCCTTTTGATTCTTTCAGGTGTTGCTTCGATGATTTGTTCTGCCAGAGTCATCATGTTTACCTGACGTTTTGAGAAAAGCAAAGATGACTAATGTCAGCACCTATCTAGTAAAATTTCATCACGATAATATCTGCATGCAGACTACTTATGCATACTTGTTCAATGCTTTTGGCCCTGACACAATAATTTAGGATTTTAATGACAGGACAGAAGATAATGATAATAAAAGTGAAATTGCTAGAGGCTAGAAATACTTAATCCAGCACTTCATCTGGTGGAGAAGTAATTAGACTGATATGGATGTCTGGAAGGATTTCTTGGCTGTTGAAGACAATAAGTAGAGTTTATTATGCAGTGATGGTCACTGACAGGGTGCCAAGATGCTTCGCTGCATACTACCTACCAAATGCGGGAAGTGCTAATATTGTGCATCCATACCTCTGACAGTACACAAGTTTAGCAGAAAATCAATTTATATCTGCACATTTTAACTAAATTTTAATAAATATTGACAAATATGTTGAAAGAATAGAAAGAATTTAGTTTGAATAACACAAATTTTTGCTCACCAGCAGAAACAGTTTATGTAGACGGACTTCTTTTATTTTAAACTGGAGCCTTTTTGCTAACTAAATTTTTTTGCTATGGACAGTGTCATGTACAAGACAACATATTTTGTTTGTATCAATCTTGCCTTTTGCTTTTATTCAAATTTTATAGCAAATAACACCTTTTGAGTTAAAGCCACTGGGTGTCTTTAACTCAAAAGGACACTTGAGCATATTAGTTTATGATACTTTGCTATTTCGTAAAGAGTGTCCAAATCATGTTCTTGTTGTAGACCAAGCAACAGAAAACTATTCAACCCAGAAAATGTGGGTTATTGTAGAACTTTCTATTAATGAAGCTAAAGTTGGGGTCAACAAAGTTGGACAAAGACTCCAAAATATATCTTGCCACCATGCAGAGTGATCAGAATTTACATTTTTCCAAGATCGCAATTAGAGACATGAAGCAAATAATGTGGCTTCTGGAGGTCAAAAGTTTCCATAGTAAAGATCAGACAACATTTACCACCTGGTTGTTGGTTGTTTGGGAGGCATGTCAGGAAAATACATGCCTATTTATTGCCAATAAATACAGTCCAGATGCTACAAAAACACAAAATCTTACCACTTATTTTTGATCTAGTTTCTAGTGTAAATATCTTACTATATCTGATTTTTTTATTTTGTTTTTGCAGTCTACTGTAAGTGTTGTCTCAGTTACTGCACAAGACTGCACATCATATCTGAAACAAAGTTGATGCAGGTTCATCTGTTAAATTCATCCCTCTGCTGCACTATAGTTGGAGTATAGATGATTTCACTCTTTTCTGCTCACCTGTAGGTCATCCATCTGCGTGAGGCAGTCCTGGTTCTCCAGGTCCTCTCGATACGACAGCAGTTCTGAATCTGCCATTTCTCTGTCCGTCATAACCAGCATGCCCAGCTGCTCCCGCTGCCGCAGTCGGTTGACCAGCTTCTCCTTTCCTAAACTGCTGCCTCCACTGATGCCCAGTGCTTTCTTCCCCATGATGCTGTGGGAGAAACTCTCTCTGGAGTTCCACCTGGTTGTCCCAGTGCTGCCTCCTGTTGGTAGACTTTTGTCAGTGCTCAAGCCCTCCGCGGACATGCTCTTAGTGCTGGAGGACAGTTTGTGGAGCTGTTGCTGCTCCAGGCTCAGAGGAACAGACATGGGCTTGTCGGGTCGATTATGAAATAATTCCGGGTTAGGTTTATGTTTTTTAGCCAATGGGAGATCTCTCTGGCCCTCGCTGCTGTAGCAGTTAGAAGGTTCTGATCGTGGCCTTCTTAAATCTGCAAAATAAAAAGAAAGACAATGTGACACCATTAGCTGAAGACTCTGCTATCACTTCTAAGTCAAAACTACAGACTTGCAAAACGTCAATGAACTCTACTGGATTTTATTTGACATCATTGTGCTCTCATCAAAACCAGTTGATTGGAGCTCTGGTTGTGTGCTTCAGGCTCAGATTTCAGATTTTCTACAAGGATTTGCTCTGTATTTAACTCTCTTCACCTTTTTTATATAAGCATCTTAGTACACTTGAATGAAGACAGAATTAACTTACAAGCAGCTTTTCAGCAAGATACAGGAATCTGTTTAAAATCCATTATCAAATATTGATAAAAAATGCTAGCTCCACTGGCAGCTCTTTTCACTTAAAATGTAAAAAAAAAGGGGAAACACATTGATGTTTGTCACAGTAATGTGGTAAAACTGAAAACAGTTAGCACTTCAGGTTCAGCAATCTTTTTGTAATCAGACTAACCTGGGTTGGGGCTGGTGGTGCTGGGTGTGGTTATTGTGTTAGCCGGACCTCCTTTCTTGCTGCCAGGTGCTACTATGCTGTCATTTGCCCAGCTGACCATCCAGTTGTCGGAGGTGGGAGCATCGGGGGCTGGGGAGAAAGACATGCGAGTCGTTGGCGGTAGAGAGGCGGGCGGCTGCTGCTCTTCCCTCTGCAGTTGCTCCAGACACTCAGCCAGCTTGGTGTGGCCACGAGAGCGAGCAATTGACAGGGGCAGGCGACCCAAGGAGTCTGGGATGGCAAGGGCCCGCCTGTCCCATTTATACAGGACTACTGCTGCCTCCAGATGACCAAGCGCACATGCCCACATCTGGATTGTAAACAGACAAAAGAACAGCAGCAAACAAGTCAGAAAAGTTGTAATCTATAAACTTTTTCCACAAAGGGAGAGCTTTGGTACTCACCAGAGGCGTGCAGGAAAAGTGATCAACATTTAGAGGGTCCACTTCCAGCTCCAAGTCAATACTATCAGCATGCTTAGTGCTGCATAAGAGAGAGAAAATTATATTTGTTGTGGTGCACTATTATGATGAATTACAGTGGCAGTTACAGAGCATGCTGGATAATTTCATTCTCACCGCCATTTGATGAGTGTCTGAATGAGGGTGGCGTAGCCCTGGCCAGCAGCCAGGTGAAGGAGTGTCATCCCTCTGAAGGTCTTGGAGTGGATTAAATGTTTGGACTTGGCCCAGCAAGCTCTGCTCATCATCTTCTCACAGACCACTACAACACGGCTCTCAAAGGAGCTGCTGGCCTGCGTCTGGCCAGATGCACACTCAAAAAAAACCCCACAAACTGCTATTAAAACAATATTTTGTGTTATGCTGTATTTGTATCAATAAGTGATGGAAAAGTTTAATTAATGTGCTGGGTTGTGCCACGTGCAACAGTAATCGTCCAGCATGATGAGGCTTTTTACCTGTGACTGACTGTTGTTCCCTCCTCCGGCCCCTCCTCCACTACCTCCTCCTACTCCTCCCCCACCAGCGCCTCCTCCTCCCGCTCCTCCTCCAGCGCCACCACTCCCCGCACTGCTTGTCTGCTGGTGGCTGGCCATCTCCGCCATCCTCCTCTCCATCTGCTCCAAGCGCTCCAGGATTGACATTCTGAACTGGTTATCTGGGCAGAAAGTGGGAGGCAGAAGAAGAATGCGTCAGCATCAGCTGTGAGGAAACAAAAATGTCAGTATGCTCATTCCAGCACAAAGAGGCCTCAATCCTGACAAGGCACATTATCACACAGTATGCACCACAAGCTGCACATGCTGAGGAGTTTCAGGGATGTCACAGTGACAGCAGGATGCTTACAATCATCCATTTAGGAGCAAATGTCCAACTCTATTTCACAGAGGAGGCAAAGTTGATTAACCTACTATACAACAATAATAATTTCATAAATAACCTGTCCAGTGAACATGACAATCGATAAAAAAACAATTACATTAGTAAAATGATGCCATCATGTAAAATGATGTACATGAAAGATCAAATTGGACACCTCCGATTTGATCTTTCATGTACAACAGCTTTATAATTTGTTTTTATAAAAACAGATGAATGTCCAAGTTTTTCTAAATGTGAAAAGTGAGAATATTTACTATTGCATAAATTCGGGATGGATAATAAATCAATGACAACTGTATCATAATGACATGTGATCAATGTCAACAGACAGTTACCTAGCAACTCACTCACTCTCTGGTTACCTAGCAACAACCTGTTGAGTAACCTGAGCAGCAACAGTTTCAGGTTTTGCCACTGTGCAAATACGCAGCAATAGCTGCTTAAAAGAATGGAAAATTGCATTGAATGAAAGAAGAAGATGAGAACAAATCAGCTTGAGAAGGAAGTGTGGACTTTAAATCAAACTCCAGTAAGTAATAATCAATATTTGCTAAAGTAAAATGTTTATATTGTGAAATGTTTTTCAGTCATATGCCCCAGCCCTAACATACACCAGTTATTGTGTTAAACTCTAAATGCCTTTTTATTAAATTTTATAAAGAGTTTTTTAATCAGATACAAATATTTTGAACATTTAGTTCCTAGTTGTAAAACTTCCCCATTTAGTCTATAATTGCAGAGTGGAATAAATATTGTTTGTCATTGTTGTTATTTATTAAGCCGTTACATTTGCTTGTTTAAGTCAGATGACAGTAGAACTTTGATTAACAATTACTTTTAAAGTTTAATTTAATTGATTACTGGCTCTGTTAATAAAAAATACAGAATATTTTAGTGTTGACTCTAAATAATATTGAAATAGTGAGAAATCGCTTAAGAAAAAGAAAGGAATAGAAAAAATATATTTTTGATAGATTACACAACCAATTAATTTTTGAACGTTAAAAAAATTTGACCAAAGTTAGTCACACATCAGTCAATTGTAAATGACTTTCTCCATTACACCTCTTTCACAGAGCTGTTAAGCTCCAGGGCACGCACAAAATTTGAAAGACAGCCCACTTCAGACAAGACTCTAGAGATACCATTCTACTGAAGGGCTTTTCCAGCTGATTAGATACAACCCATTATGGCCCTGTTCCCTGCACCTGTTTGGAAAAGAGATTAAGAATCTGACAGGACAACATAAATCAAAACCTATACAGCTATCTCAGGTCCTTGAAAAAACAACCTTTTCCCACATCAAGATGGATGGAGGCGCATTTGATGACAGGAATTGAATTTTACTAGAGGTCTGTGGGAAAGAGAGTGGTTCTACTGCAACAGATCTGACATCTGCGCAACAAAAACATATTTTCATAATACAAAATTTACAAAAAAAAGTCAAGAAATCTGATCTTTTAAGCAAGAGATTTCAAGAACTAACGTTCTACCAAGATTCCCCGTCATTGACGAAGTTTTTATTTTTCATCAGCCTTTACAAAACCTTTTAAGCCTTCGTGGCTGAATATTCTATACCGTTTATGCTCTGTGTAGCTTCAGCCTCCCAGCACAGCCACGGCCTCCTTACACAGCATCCCTTAAAAAGCTACTTCATGTAATTAAAGCCTTTTTAGTCAAGACTAAAAAAAAAAATAAATTCATAAGTAAATCTCAAATTACTTCTATTTATTATTGTAATCTTATAATCTTTACTCTTCCCCCATCTGAATGAAACAAAATATATTCACCACATATATACATCACCGCTTTAAGATTTGAATAAATTATACTGCAATGTTGCAACAACACATTAATATACAACATTTCAGGCTAATCGATACAAATTCAAATTCACTCACCTCTGCATGCTAAATGCTTGAAGAGATGCTAGCCTGACCTACTTTCTTATTATTTCAGCTAATAAGTAACGACACTATCTGACCACTTGGGGCAGTCACAGAAGATGTTCAGTTGATTCCCATAGATAAATCCCAGAATGAGATAGTGATGTCATAGTGTATCTAAAGCACTGTAAAGCACTTTTTATATTCATTAACATCAAACATGGTAAGAAGGGAAACGGTATGTCATCAGTTTAAAATGACAAAATGACATTTCTCCTACAATTTCTAAGCAATATTGTGTAGCAAACCTTAGGATCTTTTGCTAAAGATTTTGAGACTTCATTTGTATTTGTAGACCGGACTTGTTTGGTAGCTCAGGTCTTTCACCAGCAAAGTTATCAAACTGTCCCACTAATACAACATTTAACTGGAATATGCTTTACATAGACAAAAGTTTGGATTCTTGTTAACAAAACAGAAGTTTCTAGCAGGTGTAGGACATGTTGCCACTTCAAAAATAGCAATTTTTATTTATTTTTTGCTAAACAGCACTTTACATTTGTGTGGTTTAGCAGTTCACATAATTTCCTGCTAATCCTTAAACTGGTGGGGAATGAAAAAAAATAAAAAATTGCAGCTCATAGGTAGTCCGGTTAAACAAAATAACAAATGGGACTTTCTGAGCACCAGAGTGCATGTGCACACTCTTAAGGTATGCCATGTACAGACAGTGGACTGGGATGGGCACTGAGAGTCCACTGCAGCAGGGAGCATAGAAGACTGCATTAGCATTCCCCATTTAGCTACTATGAGGCCGTTTCTGTGGCAACCTGCTGCGGAGTGGTAACTAGGCGACAAGAGGATGGCTGTCTGTGTATGTGAGCTATTGGCTTATTGATGAAGGGGAGAAGGACCCAGTATACAAGACAAAAATGTACATGGACAAACAATAAAAATGTAATTTCTAAATCTTTTCCTGCATGCCATTTTTTTCCAGCGCTGATGCAAGAGGGACCCGATGACTCGAGGTGGGGAGCCTTCGCAGCATGACCCGGTGACATTTGCGCTTTAAGGTAACTTGGCACCCCCAACTAAAGGCTCCATAGAGAGCTAATGTCACAGTGAGACACAGAAAAGGAGGTCAAGTAGCTTCTATCATCAGGGAAAAAAAAGCATAATGCCACTGGCTGATAAATTGCTGCTCTCTGTGACAGTATGCTGCTCTGTGAAAAATGGGCTGAAAGAACAACAATGAGGCCCCTGCCTTTAATTCCTCTGTGTGCTGTACACTACCTAGGTGAGCATCCTGTCAAATCAGCACGTCATTTTCATAATAAACAGCAAACTGCTCAGAGTGTTTGTACAGCTTCTCATTAGGCCATATTTATCTTTGCCCATCAACATATTGGCTTGTGGACAGTAGGGAGGTGAGGAGTTGCCAGCCTACTCTGGTCTGAGTGCAGGAGTTGAGAGGGGAGTCAAAAGGTTGAGGCACATGCCTTCATATAAGGTTGTGCTCTCATTTTGCTTTCACCTAATCGGTGGGAAGAGATACAAACGCAGAGATGGAGGGAAAGAGTTGGGGATAGTAAGCAGTAGGCTGACATGTCTTTGTTCAGACCCAGTGCTGCAGTGTGCTGCAGTGCAGATGATGTCATCTCCACCTGCTGCCTGCTGCTCCAAATGCGATGCACGTCCACTGCAGAGGGAGGATGGGGGTAGAGACGAGTGGGAGGAGACAGGGAAGGTGAACAGCCAAACGGTACTGTAACAACACTGTGACGCCATGAGGGCCCTCCCCCTCTCTGGTTCACTCCCTTGTGACAGTGCACAGTTGCAGACGTGGTCATTGTCACACATTACGACCAGATTTTCACAAGGTATTTTAAAACAGCCTTGCCTGCAAAAAATTAACTAAAAACTCTCTGTAAGAAATTTAAAGCGTGCTTTTTCGGTCAATTTGAATGTAAAGTTAGTAGTTTTTATAAAGTTTCTGTAGATGAATGTGGAGATCTATTCTCATGCTTTTATTCGAAAGCATGAGAATAGAAAAAACAACCTTTACAATAACCAGACAAACATTTACACACATTTCATTTTAACATTGCATTAAACTAGAAATTACCTCACTACTTTACTGAATTAAATCCCAAACATTACAATCTCAACCCTCTGCAGACACAAACTCATTCAATTCCAAGTTATGCAAAAACTTAATTTACTGAAAATTAAACTAATCTAAACTACTACCACAGCTAAGATTGGAAATATTTTTCTACATAAGTGATAATGAAATTGTAAATGATGACCCAATTATACTTTGCATGCTTTCCTATGTATGTGTATATGTTTATTTCCTTGAGGCAATCTGGATTGTTCTCAAAGATCAAAAACATGAAAATCCAGCAAGAGGCACAACTGAAATATGGGGCTGCTTGGGGGCGACTGCAAGGCTGCAGCCCCCCAGGCCTCTGGAAATCACACAGCATCAATTCAGAAATCTACAAACCACTTAACAAAATATTTTGTTTAATTTTTATGTTAATAAGATCTAATAACTTAAACACTGCTAAGTTAACAATTTCTACTTCCTGAGTCTTAGCTACAGTGAGTTCATGTTCTAATTGTCAGATTTAAATTGTAGTATTGCAAATCACCCGAGATGTTTGGTCTGGTATCTAGTGCAAATATTTTAGTGCACTTGAAATATGGCAAAACTAACTTTAAGTAAGTTTTCAGCAAGACATAGTAAATAATTTACTTCAAATTATTTCATTTGAAGTAAAATAATTTGCCAGTGTTTTTTTTATTATTGATTTACATCAAGCTTTTATATCTGTTTGAAAAGTTAATTGTAAGCTAGGTTTGTCCTATTTCAAATGTAGTAAGATCTTTGCTAGAAACTAGATAAAACAATATTTGGTAAGATTTTGTGTTTTTGTAGCTCAGACTGTACAGGAGCAGCTTCACTAAACAAAACTCAGAAAGTTAAACGAGGAAACCACAAATCATTATATAACTCAAATCACCCGTAGCTCTACAGAGCAGTAAAAAAAAGTACTGTGATAAAAGTATGCAAAGTGTCTGTAAATGACCTGCTTATTTTTACTCTGGAGATAAATATCCCTAAATAAATACATTTCAAATGGGCTTTTCACCCAAGGACTACATAATCTGTAAACAATGTGAAGTGATAAAGAATGATGTTTACTCAAAGTCCAGAGGAATGAACTGATGTGACTCTGATAAATCTCCCCGCAGGAGTTAACTGGCTTATTTTGATTTGATCACAGGATCATAAGTCACTGAAACAGAGATCTGCTGGAACTGGTTTAATATTTAAAAAAAAAAAAAAAAAAATTAGATAAAATTTGAATTTTAATGATTTTTCACATCTACATAATTATTCAAAAGTACCTAATAGAAATAAATTGATCCAAAATGACTTCTTATGGGTTAAAAACAATTAACAGATTGTAAATTGAGGTAAGATTTGAGACTGAGTTATTTGGTAACTTTGAATTCGATCTAATTTAAATAGTAAAGCAATCAATGAGCAACAAATGCAAATATATTTCGAAAATAATATTCTACTAAAATTTTCAGGTAAGTTCTGTTTGTTTACACAGCACCAAGTCACAGCAAATTTCAGCCGAAGTTGCTTTACAAAACAAACGGATCCAATTCATATCAAATGGCTCCATTTTAACAGGAGGATAAATTCAGCAGAAACTCAGTATGAGTGACCCTGTGCTGCAACCAAATATAGCAAAAGAGGAGAAACTGAGAAAGTCACAGTTTGTTCGAGGGAAATCTCTTTAATCAGCTTCTAAGTATTGTAGTTTAAGGTGTTTTTTATGGGTTCTTATATTTGTGACAAGGCCTGACTGTTGTTTTCTTAACTCCAGGTTCTGTCAAACCAGAGAGAAGCAAAGATCAGAGGAGTTTCTATGGTATAAATCCACAGTGGTCTACAGTATCTGATCAATGACAGCTCTAGGACATGGCAGCAGCTTCTCATGAGACAGGTTGATATACTCAGGGATAAGGGAATAAAGGACAGTGCTGCTTATTAAGACCCAGCAGAGCCTGATGTCAGAGCAAAGGGGCCACAAGAAGAAAGAAGACAGCAGGGGAAGAGCGAGCGTAAACCCAAAACCAGGGTGAAAGGAAAAGAGAACAGGACAAGAGACAAGAAGGGGTTCATGAAGAGGAATAAGGGAAAATGGAAAAGGGCAGGAATTACAGTGCATGACAAGACAGGGTCTGCTAGTGAAACAGGATTGAGAATTTAGTTGACCCTACTTAGAAATGTCAAGGATGAGAGCAGGAAAACTGTTACTGGAGTGAACTACAACTGCCGGAGTGGAGCTGGAGAGTCTAAGCAGAGATTTATGGACCTTACTAGTGTACCATTTCAACTAAATCACTGAAATTAACAAGTCTTTACCACATAATGTCAATACACAGCACAGAACAAAATCCTCGACAAACAACCTCATCAATCTGACTTTTAAATAAATTGCGTTTCCGCTTGCCATACTTTGGGTTTGTTATTGAAGAAAGGCTGTCATCTTTCATCCTGAAAGAGCTCACTTCTGATTGACTACGTCGGAACATCTTTAATCCTCACATCCCAACCTCTGGTCCAGTTCATGCCAATCAAGTTCAGAACTGAGCCTCATTATCTTCCTGCAGCTACACACATCCTCAGATGTAAACCCTGTGAAAGGACCAGAGGTCGGCCCCCCTCTGGGTCTTTGTGTGGGCTGATTGACAGGGGCTAGTATTTGTGACCATGGAGAGGAAGAGGCCACACCATCTGTCAGCCGCCCTCGCAGCTGGAAGACATGGCAGTGTGCGCATAAAAGACATACAATCCTCGCTTTAAGTTCTTCTAAGAGCAGTGATTGAGTAAGATTTTAATTGCTCAAAGATCAAGACTGCATGTCGTGTAACTGAGATATGCATAATTTGTTTAGAATCTATTTGTCCAATCATCTGCTATTCGGTTTCTTTAACTCCTGGCCTTGCGGTGGGACGGGACGCAGGACACACCCTGAGCGGATGGTTCATCTGATGTATTACAAGGTTTGGAGACAGACAAATGCAATAATATTTTAAAGGTGTAGTTTTATATCTCTCTGCAGATACAGTGCCTTGTAAATGGAGTCACTTCCCTGAAACTTTTATATATTTCTAATCTTATTACCCAAAAATCAGAAACTTGGTTCCTGCAAGTTTTATCAAGTGCCCTGCTTTAACACCTGATTAAAAATAATTTAGTTCTCATTCAATTTTCATTTCAGTCAAGAGACTTCAACGATGAAAACATCTCAAACATGCAGGAGACAAACTCCCCCCTAAGATGCACCAACACAGAGTAGCACATAACTGCGAATTGGAAGGAAAAAGGTTTTATATTTGCTATTTTTTCAACAAATACAAATCTTGTACTTTAGTCTAGTCCTCAGTACTTTAACGCTCCTAAATAAAAGCCAGTGAAAACTTGCATTTAGACGTGACATAATGAGTAATGATGGGTGATATCAGAATAAATTAACACCACATATCAGGGAGGTCAAAGATAGAGAGAAACTTTAAACATCTCGAAGAGCGATATCTCTGGTCATCCAAGACCTAAAGCAAACATTTGCTTTAGATCTTAAACCAAATGTTTAGGCACCAATGGCTTTAGGTCTTAAAGCAGTAAATACATACTGCTTTATGTATTGTCACACATAAAGCAGTCATATGCAATGAATTACAGTATGTGCTGTAAAGAGGCTCATTTGTCAGATTAAAAGCACCTTTTGAAAACAGCAAACATCATCAAACATCCATTCCAATAAGCCTAAATTTCTGTATTAAAACTTAATTTATGAGTTTGATGAGATATTGTTATCTAAACGTTGTGTTTTCGTTAAATACAGGTGGAAAATCTTTCTTATTAACAGGATTAAAGGCTTTAAAACATGAGTTGATGTATAATTACTTGAATGTGTTTCACTTTGTGAATTGAGTTACTGGCATAAATATTTTTTTTCAATAATATTCTAGTTTAATGAATGAGTGCATATATGGCACAAGAAATTTCACCCTGAACTCACCATTAAAAGTGATGGCAGTATTATGCTGTGGAGCTGGTCAGAATTAGTAGGAAGACAAATGGCGATAACCACAGAGCATTCCTGGATAAAAACCTGTCAGAAGTTGCCACTGACTTATTGATTTAAATCACATTCATGTGTTTGAATGGTCCAGTCAAAGTCCAGATATAAATCAAACTGAAAATCTGAAGCAAATGTTGAGGACTGATGTTCACATATGTTGTGTATCCAATGAGACTGAGCTCGGTGAAAGACAAATGGGCAAACTTTTGATGTTGTCGAGGCGGGAAGCTGTTAGAGACACAAAACATCTGTAACTACAGCAAAAGCTGAGTCTGCAAAGTTTTCATTCAGGGGGGTGGAATACAGCCATAATTTTAAGATGTTTACTTAAAAACAGTCCCTTTTCTTTCTCCTTCACAATTTTGCAATATTTCTGTAGCATTACCACATATGAACCTTGAGGTTTACCTAACAGAAAACCTGTAAATACAATACAGAAGTGAATACAGCATTTTAAGGCAGAAGCAGGCATTTAGCTTCACCTCACTTAAGCATAAAATAATTTTAAAAAGCCACCTGTGAATTATTAAATCTGTTGCATGGCTCATATGCTGCATTATATATTTCACCAGTTTAGCCAAATGTTATAATAATCTCTAACAAAGGTCAAAGGTGTTCAACAGATCTCATCCTCTTCTTCTGGCATTTATCCAGTTATACAAGTCAATATGAGTGCAGTCTGGACACAATAGATTCAGTGTGTCACACTGAAAGTAAAATGCCAAGAGAGGAGACCCAGGGGATTTACTGTCATCTGCTTTTATACTAATGGAGTAATTGTATTGGCTTTTTGTCTCAGGAACAGGACAAGCTGTATTTTCCAGATGTTCAGTAACAAGTCCATTTTATTTAGCGTCCTGTTTATGCAAACAAATGGCATGAGCTTGAATTATATACCCGCAGACAGAACAACTTAAGATGAGAGCAGAAATTATTTGAAAAATGAAATGCCTCAATAAAAATAGAGAAAGAGCTCAAGGGGCGACACACTGCTGGCTAAATGAAGTCACATGTGTTTAATCCTTATAAACCTCAATCTTAATCTTTTTTCAAAGAATCATTGTAAATTCAAGTTTAACTATTATTCTTATGTTACAACAGCAAACAAATAAGAAATCGTGAAGGCGTCAACGTAATTTTGAAACTATACAATTTATACGGTGGCTCTGAGGTGCAAACCACTTCAAAAAATTCAAAAACACAACATTAACATAGCACAATTACAAATACACCACTGTAAACGTGTATGTGTGTGTGTTCATCAATAAAAACAATTGATCAGAATCAGCTGTATCAAATATAATTACTGTGTCCCAAAACAATTAAATAATCGCATCAAAAAGTTTGAAACGTTGTCCTTATTTTTTTTCATTCCTAAATGTAATAGTGTGTGAGAGATTGTGTCAATGACATTGATTAACTTAAAATACTTTGCAGAACGGTACTTTACGAAGTTCGGTCCATTTACTTGTGTTAGCTTGCTGGCGGATAAACCACTTTCAATATGGCGGACGCTATAATGTATTGCAACAACGGACCAATCAACAATCTCTCAAGTTTCCAACTCAGACACACCCTTTCCGTTTTGTTAGTGTTGTAGCGATTTTGTAAGTTGTAATTGTGCTTTGTTAATGTTGTGTTTTTGTCATTTTAATAGTCCTCCATTGATGTTGTTGTGTTTCGTAATTTGTAATTGTGCTAAGTTGATGTGCTTTTGAATTTGTTGAAGTGATTTGAACCTCAGGGCCACTGAAAATTCATCTTTGGAAAATCTGACTCAGAGTTAGAACCTCTTTTTGAAATAAAAGTACAAATGACTAACTTCAAAACAAAACTTATAGCTAGAAAGGGGAGACAGCTGGAACCTCAAGGCATGGATATGGAGTGAGTAAATCATATTTTAGATGATACATGCATATCCTCAAAAGCACACAGAATTACGGCAATAAAATCCAGAGTAGTAATCTTTACACAAGGTGTATGCATGATTTAAACTCACTTCAGTTCATGCAGCTCTAGCTTACAGCAAAAGTCATCTGAGGGCACTACACAGAAAAAGTAAACAATTTATCGTAGTGATGCTACACTACTCTACTTCCACAATAAATAATAGAATATCAACAGAAAAAATTGTTTTTCTCTATTTTTAACAAAGAAAACCCAGCAGGTAACTTATATGCATGAGAGAAGTCAGTTATAGTAAGAAGACTATCTATTCTTAGATGATTCAGGGTTACTGGGCTCATATGAAGTGGCACAGAGCACTTTACTTCTATAGCACCTTAATGCACAGTTCAATACGGATCATCACACTCCTGCCCCTCTGCTCTGCTCTATCACCTGCAGATGGAAAAATTCCCATAACATTGCTGCTGTTAGCAGATCTACAACTGCGATTACGCCTTCTGTCACTACAAGTGAAACCAGTTTTATGAACTACTACTACTACAGCGGTTAGGTTCGGTAGTCACACTTCATAAAAGCTCTAAGTTACAATCCTTCATAAAAAAAACTTGTTAACAGAACTGGTGAACCATACAGCTCTGGAAAAAATAAGACCAATGCAATTTTTGTGCCATCGGCATCTCTACACGAATGACATTTCTCTGGTTTTTGTTCAATTACAACACTGATCATCTGAACCCAAGAGCTTTGTGAAAGCCTGCCAAGACTCATCTTACTCCATCCAATATTTATTTTTAAATTCTTACTGAGCTTAAACATTAGTGTTGTGTTTAAAAGTGAATATAAAAGTTTTCTCAGCAACATCTGAGGTCTGAAAACACAGACTTTTTGGGAAATAAATGCCAGAAACTCTATTTCTATTTGGTAGGAATGATGTCAGTTTATTGAATAAAATAAAAATGGAAATTAAGTTAAATATTTTGCAATAGTCTTACAACATTTTCCAGAGCTGTGCTTTAAAAGACAACATTTCTGCCACCTCCAAAGTCTTCTGTCCTCATTTGTTTTCTTTTATAACTAGAAACTGATTTTCCTCAAAGTAGAGGCAAGGCATTGTCAACTCCTGATACTATTGTCATGCATAAGAAACAAAAAAAAAACTGTGCAGCCTTTTTGTTGCTGGCTTTCGGGCAACAGTGCAGTAAATGCATTTTAGTTTACTGCAGCAACACCGATAAACATTACACATGAGCAACAGGTAGGTAATGCACAAGAAGAATCTTCGTTTAAATAGTTTGGGAAAGTCTGGCAAGCAGAAACTCCGGAGACAAAGCTGTAAAAGTCTCTGTTCACGGCTGCGTGGTGCTGAAAGCGGTCTGAGCTGTGGAGAATCTCAGCAGCCACACACATGGCCCAGATAAACTCAGCGGAGCTTATGAATGCGACAAGCCTTCATTGCGCTATAGGGCACAACAACACGTGAACCTGCACCTGGGTCACGCTGACCCTTTGCTTATCACCATCCAGATACAAACACACGGAGAAATAAGTATTTGGAAATTATGCACCCGAACTTTAAAAGAAGACCGAGAATGTTTTTTTTTTTTTTTTTTTTGAAGTTTCGGGAGGTCGCCCTAAAACGCAAAAAGCGCAAGTCGTGAGTCAGGAGTTGCTTAGTCTGAGCGCTTTGACGCATGAAACAGTTGGTAAGCATGTGGCCGAAACAACTCCGCTACAGCTCTGCCACTACAGCAATACAGTAAAACAGAAAAACTCTGCATGCGGC